AAGCACTCAATATTGAGCACTAAAACAGCTAGTGTTGAGCCCAAGGGTTGAGTCGTCTCTAACGCCATCACTAATGGAAATACATTTAAACAGTTATGCAATGCATTGAATGCAATGACACGTAACGCACGCGCAGTGAGTGTCACAACACTATCGTTGAGTGCGATATTGACTTTACTTTCGTTTTTATAGACATTTGTTTTTTGTTGATTACAATTAAAACATTTTTACATTTAGTAAATCATATGTTTGTATATAAAACACATAATCAAATACATAGACAATCGTATCGTTAGTTTTGATATACATTTTATACATTCAATGATTGAATAATTGTCCGCTCAATATATGTATGAAAAGTGAAAACATAATTAAACCATAAATTGTATGTATTTTTGCCTTTAATTTGGTTGTTATGAATGGATTTGATGTTTAATTGAAGCAAATATTTGATAAGAAATGGTATTATATTTATAGCAAACAATAGGTCTAAAGGGTCTGACGTTTGCATTGCTTTTCATATGCATTGATAAGAAGAGGCGTTTCATTGTGTCGGCCACTCATCGCCTATCGGTTTGTGTCGTCAAAACATATCGCACTATATATGACACAAAATCATGTCTTTCTGTGGGTTTAATAGACATAAATCTAATGATAATCTCATAGACAGTGACTATAATAGCGATAAATGTATTGTTTTTGACAAACCATTAGTCAGTCCAGTCGGCGATTCGTTGAGTCCCTCGTCATCGACCGTCTCTCTCAGCTCTGGCGGCGACCGCACAGAGAGGACACCCATTCTCAGACATGTCAGGTCTGTTGTCCACCACTCGAGTGTCACCAATAATTGTACCATTTATTGTCTACTTTGACAGACTGTTCCGTAACCTGAGCGGCACATCGAGTCCGGACAGATCCACGTCCAGCCCTACTAGAAATGTACAGCTCAAGCATTTGACCACATTTTCGGGTGTCTTTACACCCGTTTGTCTTTCAATGTTTAGTGCAATACTTTTCTTACGAATTGGTTTGTATTTTGAGTTTTCTAAAAAGTGCATTTAAAATGACATTACAGTTAACATATGGTTTAACTGATTATAGGCTTTATTGTCGGCAATTCTGGTGTTTTGACCACTTTGTTGGAGCTCTTGTTAGCGTACACTATATTAGTGTTTACTGTGTTATCAATTTGTGCCATCAGTACCAACGGCGCGATTGAAGGCGGAGGCGCTTATTGTGAGGGTTTTGTTAATCATTTGAAATGAATATCTAATTTTAATGTACATTCGTTATGACAGTTATGATAAGCCGGGCGTTAGGACCAGAATTTGGTGGAAGTATTGGAACCCTGTTCTTCATCGCCAATATATTCTCCAGTGCTTTATATATCACGGGTTGTGTCGAAGGAATTGTCAATAATTTCGGGCCTTCGGGTAATTTGTTTATTGAGTGAATTGTGACCAAAACTATACATTAATTGAATACCGTTTGCAACAATAGGAGGAATCGCCGCGTTATTGCCGGACAGTCACTGGCATTCAATACTTTACGGTTCAGTCCTTAATCTAAGCAATACTATGATCTGTTTGATCGGCGCTTCTCTATTCGCGAAGACAACTGTTATTATATTCATAATTGTTATGATTAGCACAGTATCAGTGATTGTAAGTCTACTTTTCCAAAACCCGCTCTCAATGGATGTGCCGCTAGAGAACCAATATTTTAGGGATCACTTTAACGTTACTTCTCTTAATTTTACGAGTTTTGAATGGAAGACATTCAAAGATAATATGAATCGTATGTATCATTCGTTTATTTCATGTTTAGTTTAAGTCGACTTTTTTAATGAATGATTAACTGTTTGTTTAGCGAATTTTGGTATTGATTATACGACCAATGATTTGACAACATTTCCCGTCGTATTCGGTGTACTGTTCAGTGGTGTGACCGGTATTATGGCGGGCGCTAACATGTCCGGCGAACTCAAAGGTTACCATTCAATTGTTTACGTCATATGTTTGCTCATAAAACTAATTAAACAATGAAATCAATGTTCAGACGCCGGAAAATCCATACCTCGAGGAACTTTAGGCGCCGTGTGTTTTACTTTTATAACGTATATTATATTAGTCTTTTTGACCGCTTCCACTTGTCCGGGGTTTGTATTACTAGATTTTGGCATTTGTTTTACCAAATGATTACTAAAATTGTGGTTTGGATTTTAGGGAACTTTTGCAAAATAACTACTTGTTTATGCAAGACATCAACTTTTGGCGCCCATTCGTGGCCATCGGTATATTCGCGGCCACACTGTCCGCATCGTTAAGCAATCTAATCGGCGCCTCTCGAGTGCTCGAAGCCGTCTCTAAAGACAATTTGTTCGGTAAACTTCTTCAGCCAATAAACCGTTTCTCACGCGCCGGGAATCCGATCGCCGCCGTAATCGTCACGTGGTTTACGGTTCAGTGCATTATATTAATTAATAAACTCAATCTCATCGCACAAATCACATCCGTATTCTTCTTGTTGTCCTATTTCGCCATAAACTTGGCCTGTCTTTCGCTTACACTCACCTCTGCGCCCAACTTTCGGCCCTCTTTTAAGTACTTCTCCGGAAAGACCACATCTATAGGAATGATT